ATAAAATTTAATGGTGAAGCCATCTGGTCTGAAAGTTTTGTTCTTATGTAGTTTTTTGATTACCAGTTCAATTTCATTGCTGGTGACTGGTCTTTCCAGATTTTCTGTTTCTTCCTGGGTCAGTCTTAGAAGTATTTTCTAGAAAGCTGTCCATTTCTTCTAGGTTATCCAATTTGTTAGCATATAATTTTTCATAGTATTCTCTAATAATTCTTTGTATTTCTGTGGTGTCCATAGTGATTTTTCCTTTCTCATTTCTGATTCTGTTTATGTGTGTAGACTCTTTTTTTCTTGATAAATCTTGCTAGGGATTTATCTATTTTGTTTATATTCTCAAAGAACCAGCTCCTGGTTTTATTGAATCTTTCTATTGTTTTATTCTTCTCAATTTTATTAATTTCCTCTCTAATCTTTATTATGTCCCTCCTTCTACTGACTTTGGGCCTCATTCGTTCTTCCTTCTCTAGTTTCATTAATTGTGAGTTTAGACTGTTCATTTGGGATTGTTCTTCCTTCTTGAGTTAAGCCTGTAGTGCTATATACTTTTCCCTTGGAGCTGCCTTTGCTGCATCCCACAGATTTTTTAGAGTGTTGAGTTGTTATTTTCATTTGTCTCCACATATAGCTTGATCTCTGTTTTTATTTGGTCACTGACCCAATGATTATTTATGAACATGTTGTTAAGCCTCCATGTGTCTGTGGGCTTTTTTGTTTTCTTTGCATAATTTATTTCTAGTTTTGTACCTTTGGTTTGAGGAGCTGTTTGGTGCCATTTCAATGCTTCTGAATTTACTGAGGCTCTTTTCATGTCCTAGTTTGTGATCTATTTTGGAAAATGTTCCATGTATCATTGAGAAGAATGTGTATCCTGCTGCTTTTGGGTGGAGTGTTCTGTGGATGTCTGTTAGGTCCATCTGTTCTAAGTGTTGTTCAGTGCCTCTGACTCCTCACTGTTTCTGTCTGATTGATCTGTCTTTTGGAGTGAGTGGTGTGTTGAAGTCTCCTAAAATGAATGCATTGCATTCTATTTCCCCCTTTAATTCGGTTAGTATTTGTTTCACATATGTAGGTGATCCTGTGTTGGGTGCATAGATATTTATAATGGTTATATCCTGTTGTTGGATTGACCCCTTTATCATTATGTAATGTCCTTCTTTGTCTCTTGTGACTTTCTTTGTTTTAGATATTGTTTCTATTTTGTCTGATACAAGTACTGCAACTCCTGCTTTTTTCTCCCTATTAGTTGCATGAAATATCTTTTTCCACCCTTTCACTTTAAGTCTTTGTATGTCTTTTGGTTTGAAGTGAGTCTCTTGTAGGCAGTATATAGTTGGGTCTTGTTTATTTTATTCATTCAGTGACTCTATGTCTTTTGATTTGTGCATTTTGACCATTTACATTTAGGGTGATTATTGATAGGTATGTACTTATTGCCATTGCAGGCTTTAGATTTATGGTTACCAAAGCTTCAAGGGCACTTTATTTACTATCTAACAGTCTAACTTCTCATTTATTATTCCATTTCAAACATAATCCAAAGGTTCTTTTTTTTTCTCCCTTCTTTTTCTTCCTCCCCCACTATTTATATATTAGGTGTCATATTCTGTACTCTGTGTGTCCCTTGACTGACTTTGGAGGTATTTAATTTAATTTTACATTTACTTAGTAATTAATCATTCTACTTCCTTTCCTGTACTTTTATTTTCTCTGGTGAGAGCTATTTAGCCTTAGGAACACTTCCATCTATAGCAGTCCCTCCAACATACACCATACAGAAGGTTTGTGGGAGATAAATTCCCTCAACTTTTCCTTATCTGGATATTGTTTAAGCTGTCCTTCACATTTAAGTGATAATCTTGCTAGGTAGAGTATTCTTGATTTGAAGACCACCTGTTTCATTGCATTAAATATATCATGCCACTCCCTTCTGGTCTATAAGGTTTCTGCTGAGAGGTCTGATGATACCTGATGGGTTTCTCTTTGTATGCTATCTTTTCTCTCTCTCTGGTTGCTTCTTTTCATACTCTGTCATTTTCCTTGATTTTTTCCATTTTAATTATTATATGTCTTGATGTTGTCTTCCATGGTTCCCTTGTGTTGGAAGATCTGTGCACTTTCATGACCTGAGACTATTTCCTTCCCCAGATTGGGGAAGTTTTCAGCAATTATTTCTTCTATGCCTTTTCTCTCCTTTGTCTGGTACCCCTATAATGCAAATATTGTTCCATTTGGATTGGTCACAGTTCTCTTAATAATCTTTTATTTCATTTTTTCTCTCTGTACCTCAGCTTCTTTGTATTCCTGTTCTCTAATTTCTATTTCATTAACCATCTCCTCCATCTCTTCTAATCTGCTTTTGAATCCCTCCATTGTATGTTTCATTTCAGATACTGTACTGTCCAAAGTTTCTATTTCTTTCTTGAAGTCCTTCCTGAAGTCTTGAATATTTTTCTGTAGCTCTCTGAGCATGTTCATGATTTTTATTTTGAAACCTTTATGAGGAAGGTTGGTGGTTTCAGTTTCACTTAGCTCTCTTTTTGGTGTTTGAGGGATTTTGGGTTGTACCAAGTTCCTTTGCAGTTTTATATTTGCAATGATTACTATGGAATAATAACTTTGTGTAGGTGGCACCCTCTTGTGCCCAGAAGCTCTACTCTCTGGAGCTCCCCAACCCTTGAAGTGATGGTGGGGCACAGGCTTACAGTGCTGGTGCCTGCCAGGAGCGAAGAGCTCTCTCCTGCTTCCTGGCTGCAGTGCCTGCCTTTGCAGCCAGGGCCAGTGGGCTGAATGCACAGGCAGGAGCCTCTATGCTATGCCCCTGTAGCTGCCGTAGACAGGGCCACCCTCCGGCTGGCCTGGCAAATGGCACGTGCAGCAGTTTTGTGAACTGGTGCCAGCTGGGAGGAAGGAGTAGCAAGCTGTGTATCACAGTGGGAGGCCTTGGTGCTGTATTTCCAGCCAGAGGCATGGAGCGCATGAAGCTCCTGAAAGCTCCCAACCTGCTGGGCTGAGTGTACTAGGACAATTTTGTCCACTTGTCCTCTCCTGGGCAGCAAGTTCTGTGGAATCCTTGCCCCTTCAACAGGGGCCTCTCGCTATTGAGAAATCTTTCAAAGTACCCTCCTTTCTTTCATCCCAGATCACCTGGTTGTGGGTACCTGTTCTCCACAAGCAGCTGGTGTCTCAGTCTAGCTGAGTACTCTGCCTGTCTTTGCTTTCCAATCCCTCTAATCTCCTGAGAAATATGTAATGTGGGTTAATGTTCCTGGAGCAGATATCCAGGGCTGGGTGTTTAGCAGTCTTGGGCTTCTACTTCCTCTCCACTCCATTTCTCTTCCTCCCACCAGTGAGCTGGGGTTGGGGGCAGGCTTGAGTCCCACCAGATCATGACTTTCCTACTTTACCCTTTTGCATGAGGTCTTCTTTTTTCCCCAGATGTAGGTCTTCTGTTGCAGTCTCCTTTCTGGTCACTCTTTCAGAATTAGTTGTATTTGCTGTATTTTTGAGTTATATGTGGTTGTGGGAGGATGTTTCTGCCTCACTTCTCACACCTCCATCTTTTTTGAGGGAGGTTCAATTTAAAATAAGTTATTAATTAGTATTCTCAACAATTAATAATTGTTTGAATTAAATGTCAAAGAGTGCTGCCAGTTTTGAATATCATTTTCCCAATATTTGTTTAAAGGTAGTTAGATATAAAAAATGAACCCTATTATGTGAATTGTTCCCCTTCAGTCCATCTTATTGCCTGTCTTTCTATTTTCTTATAATAATGTAATATGCACCACATTCATAGATATAGATGAGTGTCTTTAAACACTATTTGTTTATCTGATTTTTTCTTCTGATATTTTCATTTGTGCATCATTTGTAAAAAGAAGAATCTCTACATAGTCACATAAGTGCTCATTAATTATTTACTTCATGAAGACATCACAAAAATGTATTGAAAGCAACTGAGACAATAACTGAAAGGAATTTCACTATGTAATTAGTTAAATCACAATTATTTTAATCACACATTGTAATTATGTTATTAATTGCCAGTTTGTTCTTTACTACATACTGAAAACCCTTGGCCCCATTAAAGAACTGACTCTGTTCACAATTTGTCTGAATTCAGCTTTCTGATTGCCTCAGTTTAGCTTGCTCATGGTATTCTTTCTTATACTATTCTGTATAGTGCATTTATATAAAGGTGTGAATTACTAGTTTTGGAACTATTTCTACATCTGGCTGAAATTCAGAACTCAGATTTTAAATAACAAAGCCTTCACAAATCTCACTACTAAAAGGTTACTTTCCTTCCAATATTATCTGCAAAAAAATGTCTGCCATTGCTTGTCTCTCTGCTGTGATATTTCAATCTACTCTTACCTTCTATGGTCAGCTCAAGATGCAGTAATACAAGAGCTTAAATTTTCCCCTTAAAGGGGAACTTATTTCCTTTTAGGGATATAAGCTAAAATCCTGGTCCCTCCAATGGGGCAAAAACATGAATGCAATATAATGTTTTCCTTGGTGGTTCCCAAGGGCTAAGGGGAGAAGAGAAGGAGAGTTGTATAATGGGTATAGACTTCCAGATATGGAGGAAGAAAAAATTCTGGAGATCTGTTTCACAAAAATAATATACCTAACACTACTGAACTGGTTAAGATGATATTTTGCTTTATGGTGCTTTTTTGAATCACAATAAAAGGACATATATTTGAAAAAAATCGAACTGACTATATCTTCCAAATCACAGCTTCATATTTAAATTGAAAATCACCTCTTGCCTGATGTTTAAATAAAATGGTTGCCATTCATTATATATATATATGACATAAATTTTCATCATCTATATATATGCACTTGATATATGTGTGTATGTGTGTATATACATATATATATGTATGTATATGCAGAATAATTTTGAGCTATTCCGATTTAAATTGGTTTAGGCATTAGCTAGGTAGAAAATAAGAAAAAGAAAAATATGTGAGTAAGGANTATCCCAGTGAGAGAGAGTTTTTCCTTATCCTTCCCTGTGGAGTCAGACATTGCTCCCATTGCACGACTGTTCATCTTCACCATTTTACCAGATGGAGAAGTGATTGGAGACTCAGAGAGATTTGAGATTGAAAACTGTCTAGCCAACAAGGTGAGTGTCTTTAGCATAACTCACATGAACACAAATAAATGGTACTTACAGGTATTATCTATTTTACCTCAGAGAAAACTGAGCCCAGAGAATTAAATGAGTTACCCATGGGTTCCCAAAAAGTGAATGTCAGAGCCAAATACCAAGGCACGTAGAACAATATGTTTTTAGTTAGGCAAAACTGCTACCACATAAAACACAATTGAATCATGCATCAGACCCCATTGATTCAATTGTGTGAGGTAGGTGACATGTTAAGATTCAAAAGTTCCAAAGGCCTTAAGGACAAATACAAGTACCTAGAACCACCTTACAAGGATGAGATAAAGATGGGCCTCTACAAATCAAACTATTTGTCCAAGACTGAGCTATTGACTAAACCTTTTCAACCGCAGAGGAAAGATGAGAAAAGAAGTTCCTGACTTGACACTTCCAAATACAGTCATATAAAGCTGAAGGCAAGGGTGACAGGAGATGGGTGACGGCAGGATTGTAAAGTAGAGAAAGCGCTGTATGACTTTCCCTTCCATCCTACAGGTGGGTTTGCACTTCAACCCAGCACGCAGCCTCCCCGCCTCGCCCGCCCACCTGCGCGTCACAGCCTCCCCTGGCTCCCTCTGCGCCCTGCGCGCAGTGGACCAAAGCGTGCTGCTCCTGCGGCCCGAGGCTGAGCTCTCGGCGGCCCGGGTGAGTCCCGCCCGCGGGGCCAGGGAGGGCGAGTGCTGGCGGTGGGTGGGTGCTGTCAGAGCAGAGAGTAGCGCAGCTGAGAGTAAAATACAGTAAAAATAGTCACTGTTGTCTATATGATTTCTCAAGCTCTCTCAAATACATATACTCATTTGATCAGAGAGTAACAGCCAACTCTTAGGATTTGAAAACTAAGATTCAGAATATTTGAGAGGTTTGTGTCTGATTACCCAGAAGCAAGTGATAGCTAAGATGTGGTTCAGAAACTGCCTACAAGCTGGTATCTCTCCCAAGACATGACTTCTGTTTCTCTAAGGAATCAAATCTATACTTCAATTATTCCTGCTTTATAATGTACTCAATGAAAGCTAAATTTTGTTAAGATTCACTGCTTACAGAGAGGTCATGTTTAAAAAAGAGGATGAATTAGTAAGTTGTCAAAGGATTGGATGATATTGATCCCACATAAAACATTTTTGCTCAATGGACTAAGGAAGCATTTTGTAAAGTTATATTTACAAGCATCTATCAGGGACCTTCCAACAGATCTAACTATATCGCTAGAGTCCTTGGGATCTGTGAATGTGGTAACTGATCCACAAGTTATCTTCGATTTAAAATATTTTTTATTTTTACAAAATTTAAACAATTTTTTAAAAACATGACCTACTACGTCTTTGTCAGCAATGTTGATTCACAGCCTAACTAAAATTTTAAGTCGCTGCTTTTTTCTAAATTAGACTAATTCATAGTGGTAATATTTGGTGTGTCATGTTGATTTATTATTTTTATTTTTATTATTATTATTATCATCATCATTATCATCATCATCATCATCTTGCAAGCACATTCTGTGTTGGGTCTGTTGCAGGAACTGGAGAAATAGCAGTAAACATATCACAGTCCTTGTCCTTACAGAGCTGTCATTTTAGAGGGACTGTTGAATGTGGTTCAGAAAATAAAAGGTGAAAAATCAGTGAATAATTGGCATTAGGAGCAAACACTGTCAAACATGGGGTTTTGAAGGGAAAACTATTAGAAGGATAATTCAGAAACTACTTCCCCAACCTATTTAAGACTAGATTATTCATATTTTGAAAATTTTCAGTTTAATGCAAGAAAATGTGTTATTAGTATTTTATCATTGTCAGAAGGTTATCACAAATTTTACAGCTTTAACTGCTTCCTGCATTAATATTTAAAGATCAGTATATCAACTTTAATAAAAAAAACTTGTCTATTTGGGAGCTATTACCACATCAATGCTGGAAGATAAATCAGTAATATTGACGTTTCTTTGGCATTTGTTCAAGTTTCTACTCCTCAAAATTTGTATTAAAATTTAACATTATGAGATAATTATTATCAAGGATCACTACCCTGTTTTTAATCATCAAAATTAACATTCTTCAAAAAGTGCAATCAAAATTCTCAAAATTAGTCTTTTATTAATAGGTCAAAATATCTCCTCATAACATAATAATTATTACACAATAGACAATGATTATATTTCTCTATTTGAATTAGAAGATGGCATCAAGAGATTAACCTAAAACAAGAGAATTCCCTCTCCAAACTTCTTTGGAGTAACTGCTTATGTTTTTATACCCTGTATCTGTGGTAGTCTATTCTAAGCAATATTTTTTCAGCTTGTGTTGAAGACATTAGGCTTCTTCTCAATATTTTATGTCTATCCTACTTTATTCAGTCAAATAATTTAACAGTTGCTTCAGTTGCATAACAAAAGCTTTGAATATTACGGAGGTTCATTGGAATTAGGAATACAGCTGGAGACTAGATTCTTGAAGTTGCAAAAATCTTTAAGCTCACATGCTTTGAAAATAACCTGGAAAGCACTGGTTCATCCAATATAGATAATGCATGCTCATTTATGTGACTATTTGGTTCTTCTACTCAAGAACAAAGGTGAATAGATAAGGAATTTTAAAGGGTATTTGAGTTAGTTATCCACTGCTGCATAACAATTTCCCCCCAAATTTAGTGGTTTAAAATAATAACCATTTACTGTCACATGGTAGGTTTCTGTGGATTGGAAATCCAGAGGTGACTTAGCTGGGTGGTACTGGCTTGTGGTCTCTCATGAGATTGCTGCCAACGTGCAGGTGGGGGCTTGAGTCATCCGAAAGATTGAAGTTGGAAGACCTACTTCCAAGATGTGTTTCTCAGAGTTATTGTCAGAAGGACTGGGTTCCTCACCAAATTTCTACATAGGGCTGCCTGGGTGTTGTTACAACGTGGCAAATGATTTCCTCCAGAGTATGTGATCCAAACGAGAGAAACTAAAGCTGCAATATGTTATATCACCTAGCCCTGGAACTTAGACACCACCATTCCCACAAATTCTTATTCATTATAGATATCAGTCCTTAACATTATGGGAGGACTACTCAAGGGCATGGATACTGGGAGGTAGAGATTATTGGAGGCCATTTTGGAGGCTGTCTTCATAAGTATTCCCTCTAGTTCCCAATGATTCATGACCATCCCACATGTAAAGTACACTCACGTCCATTCTCTCAATACTCAAAATTCTTATTCCAAAAGAGCAACAGCTCAAAGACTCAACCTCCACATTTAAATCAGGTCCAGGTGAAGATGATTGACCCCAATGTTCAAAAAGGGGAAATGAAAGGTATGCAGGAGTTACTACTTCACAGCTATATGGAGATTCAGCCAGGCAAAGGTAAGAAGTTCTTCCATTAGGACTCAGTTTATTCCAGTCTATGAATAAATATCCTGGTCTCTTGGCTCCAACTTACGGATTCTTGGTACTTTCATTTAAGTCATCCTTCTTGTTCAAACAAAAAAGGTAGCCTGTGTTTGCAATTGTGTAGACATTGTTCTGTTGAATATAGATGATACATATTTATTTATGTACCTATCTGTTTCTTCTACCCAAGAAATAGAAGGTTAACAGATGCCAATAATTCCTACCTGAATTCCTCAGGATGTTAACTGTTCACCAATCATGGTGGCAATTTAGATCTCTTTCTAATATTTGCTCTAGTTTTACCTCTAAACTCTACAGTGAAGTTTCCATTAACCCTTGGTAATTTCATATTTTATTATTCCTTCAAAATATTTCCCCAAGTGGGTTTCATATTTTTAGAAAAAAAAAACTTGTTAAAGAGACTGGATTAAAGATGGCAGCATGAGGGATGACACAGAGACCTCCTCCTAAAACCACATTTAATACAAAAATATAATTAATACAACTAATCCTAAAAAAGCAACAGGAAAGAAGGCTGCACCAGACTGCATACACCTGGAGAAAAGAACAGACCTCACAGAACAGGGTAACATACCAAAGCTGTGACCCCGTGGGACCAAGCCCTTCCCCCACCCCAGCTCACCGGTAGGAGGAAGAGAAATAGAGTGGGGAGGGAGTGGAGGCCTGGGACTGAACACTTAGTCCTGGAGATCTGCTCTGGAAGCACAAACCTCCATTGCATGGTACTCTGGTGATTAGCAGGGTTGGAAAGCTAAGACAGGCAGAATACCTGGAGAGATGGAGATTCCAGCTGCTTGTGGAAAATGGATCCATATCTGGCTGATCTGGGTGGGCAGTCTGAGAGACTTCCTAAAAGTGAGAGGGCTGCTAAAGGGGCAAAGATTGCACAAAGCTTGCTGCTCAAGAGAAAGGACAAGTAGACAAAATTGTCTGTGTGCACTCTGCCCAGCAGGTGGGAACTTAAATGACCTCCAGCCACTCCATCCCCCTGGCTGGCTACGCAACTCCAAGGCCCCCCACCATGATACACAGCCTGCTGCACCTTCCTCCTGGACAGCCCGCACCTCACTCACAAAACTGAAAACCTGCCCTGGCATCAGGCCAGCCAGAGGGAAGCCCCACCTACAGCAGCTACAAACACAAAGCATAGAGGCTTACACCTGTGTGTTCAGCCCACTGGTTCAGGCAGTGGAGACAGGCATAGCAGCCAGGAAGCAGGAAACAGCTCTTTCCTCCCGCCAGGCACTAATACCACTCCCCTGAGACCCCTGACATCACTCCAGGGGCTGAGCAGCTCCAGAGAGTAGAGCTTCTGGGCACTACAGGGCACCACATACAAATATGAAACATCAAAGGAAACTGATTCAAAGCAAAATCTCAATACCACCAGGAAAAGGGTCAAATGAGACAGAACTAATCAATCTTCCTGAAAGAGATTTCAAAATGAAAATCATAAACATGCTCCAGGAGGTATAGAAAAATATTCAAGAACTAGGGAACAAACTTAGAACAGAAATCAAATCATTGAGGAACACAATAGAGAGTTTTAAAGGCAGATTAGATATGGTGGAGGAGATGATAAATGAAACAGAAATTATAGAGGAAGAATATGAAGAAGCTGAGGCACAGAGAGAAAAAAAAGATCTCTAGAAATTAAAGAATAATGAGAGAACTGTGTGACCAATTCAAATGGAACAATATTCACATTATAGGGGTACCAGAAGAAGAAGAGAGAGAAAAAGGGATAGAAACTGCCTTTGAGGAAGAAATTGCTGAAAACTTCCCCCCTGGGGAAGGAGATAGCCTCTTAGGCCATGCAGGTGCACAGATGTCCCAACACAAGGGACCCAAGGAAGACAACACCAAGACATATAATAATTAAAATGGCAAAGATCAAGGATAAGGACAGACTATTAAAAGCAGCCAGAGAGAGAAAAAAGATCACAAACAGAGGAAAACCCATTAGGCTATCACCAGACTTCTCAGAAGAAACCTTACAGGCCAGAAGGGAGTGGCATTATATATTTAATGCAATGAAGCAGAAGGACCTCAAACCAAGATTACTTTATCTGGCAAGATTATCATTTAAATTTGCAGGAGGGATTAAACAATTTCCAGATAAGCCAAAACTGAGAGAATTTAGCTCCTGCAAACCATCTCTACAGCATATTTTAGAGGGACTGCTATAGATGGAAGTGTTACTAAGGTTAAACAGCTGTCACCAGAGGTAATGAAAAGGGACAAAGAGCACAGAATATGATACCTAATATATACAGAATGGAGGATGAAGAAAAGGAGGTGGAATAAAAGAACCTTTAGATTGTGTTTGTAACAGCATACTAAGTGAGTTAAGTTAGACTCTTAGATAGTAAGGAATTTACCCTTGAATCTCTGGTAAGCACAGATCTAAAACCTGCAATGGCAATAAGTACATACCTATCGATAATGACCCTAAATGCAAATGGCCTGAATGCACCAATCAAAAGACATAGAGACACTGAATGGATAAAATAAACAAGACTCATCTATATGCTGCCTACAAGAGACTCACTTCAAACCAAAAGACAATCACAGACTAAAAGTGAAGGGACAGAAAAAGATATTTCATGCAATAGGGAGAAAAAAGCAGGTGTTGCAGTACTTGTATCAGACAAAATAGACTTTAAAACAAAGAAAGTCACAAGAGACAAAGAAGGACGTTACATAATGATAAAGGGGTCAATCCAACAACAGGATATAACCATTATAAATATCTATGCACTCAACAGAGAAGCACCTACATATGTGAAACAAATACTGACAGAATTAAAGGAGGAATTAGAATGCAATGCATTCATTCTAGAAGACTTCAACACACCACTCACTCCAAAGGACAGATCAACCAGACAGAAAATAAGTAAGGAGACTGAGGCATTGAACAACACATTAGAAAAGTGGACCTAAAAGATATCTACAGAACTCTCCATGCAAAAGCAACAGGATACACATTCTTCTCAAGTGCACATGGAACATTTTCAAGAATAGAATATATACTAGGCCACAAAAAGAGCCTCAGTAAATTCAAAAAGATTGAAATAATACCAAATAGCTTCTCAGACCTCAAAGGTATGAAACTAGAAATAAATTACAGAAAGAAAATGAAAAAGCCCACAAACACATGGAGGCTTAACAACATGCTCTAAATAACCAATGGATCACTGACCAAATAAAAACAGAGATCAAGCAATATAAGGAGACAAATGACAACAATAATTCAACACCATAAAATCTCTGGGATGCAGCAAAGGCCGTGCTAAGAGGGAAGTATACTGCAATACAGGCCTACCTCAGGAAAGAAGAACAATCCCATATGAATAGTCTAAACTCACAATTAACAAAACTAGAAAAAGAAGAACAAATGAGGCCCAAAGTCAGTAGAAGAAGGGACATAATAAAGATTAGAGCAGAAATAAATAAAATCGAGAAGAATAAAACAATAGAAAGAATCAATGAGAGCAGGGGCTGGTTCTTTGAGAAAATAAACAAAATAGACAAACTCCTAGCCAGACTTATCAATAAAAAAAAGAGCTTTCATGCAACTAAGAGCTTTCATAAAACACAAAGAAATAAAAGGCATGCAGATTTGTAAGGAAGAAGTTAAACTGTCACTGTTTGCAGATGACATGATATTGTACATAAAAAACCCTAAAGAATCCACTCCAAAACTACTAGATCTAATATCTAAATTCAGCAAAGTTGCAGGATACAAAAGTAATACACTGAAATCTGTGGCATTCCTATACTCCAATGATGAACTAGCAGAAAGAGAAATCAAGAAAACAATTCCATTCACAATTGCATCAAAAGAACAAAATACCTTGGAATAAGCCTAACAAAGGAAGTGAAGAACCTATACATTGAAAACTACAAGACACTCATGAGAGAAATCAAAGAAGATACCAATAAATGGAAACACATCCCATACTCATGGATAGGAAGAATTAATATTGTCAAAATGGCCATCCGGCTTAAAGCAATCTACAGATTCAATGTAATCCCTATCAAAATACCAACAGCATTCTTCAATGAAGTAGAGAAAATCATTCTAAAATTCATATGGAACCACAAAAGGCCCTGAATAGCCAAAGCAATCCTGAGAAGGAAAAATAAAGCTGGGGAGATTACACTCCCCAACTTCAAGTTCTACTACAAAGCCACAGTAATCAAGACAGTTTGGTACTGGCGCAAGAACAGTCACATAGACCAATGGAACAGACTAGAGAGGCTAAGTGAATATGGTCAATTAATATATGATAAAGGAGCCATGGACATACAATGGGGAAATGACAGCCTCTTCAAAAACTGGTGTCTGCTAAACTGGACAACTACATGCAAGAGAATGAAAGTGGATTATTGTCTATCCCCATACACAAAAGTAAACTCGAAATTGATCAAAGACCTGAATGTAAGTCATAAAACCATAAAACTCTTAGAAGACAACATAGGCAAAAATCTCCTGAATATAAACATGTTTTCTGAATGCATCTCCTTGAGCAAGGGAAATAAAAGCAAAAATGAACAAGTGGGACTATATCAAACTAAAAAGCTCCTGTATGGCAAAGGACACCATCAATAGAACAAAAAGGCATCCTACAGTATGGGAGAATATATTTGTAAATGACATATCCAAGAAGGGGTTAACATCCAAAATATATAAAGAACTTACACACCTCAACACCCAAAAAGCAAATAACCCTATTAAAAAATGCACACAGGATATGAACAATTCTCCAAAGAAGAAATTCAGATGCCAATAGGTACATGAAAAGATGTTCCACATCACTAATTATCAGGGAAATGCAAATAAAAGTCACAATAAGATATCATCTCACACCAGTTAGGATGGCCAGCATCAAAAAGTCTAAGAACAACTAATGCTGGCAAGGATGTGGAGAAAGGGGAACCCTCCTACACTGCTGGTGGGAATGTGAACTAGTTCAACCATTGTGGAAAGCAATATGGAGGTTCCTCAAAAACTAAAAATAGAAATACCATTTGACTTGGGAATTCCACTGCTAGGAATTTACCCAAAGAATATAATTTCTCAGATTCAAAAGACATATGCACCCCTATATTTATTGCAGCACTATTTACAATAGCCAAGATATGGAAGCAACCTAAGTGTGCATCCTAAGATGCACCTAAGGTGAATTCAAGCAACCTAAGATGAATGAATAAAGAAGATGTGGTACATATACACAATGGAATACTATTCAGCCATAAAAAGGAAACAAATCGTACCATTTGCAACAACATGGATGGAGCTGGAGAATATTATGCTCAGTGAAATAAGCCAGGTGGGGAAAGACAAGTGCCAAATGATTTCCCTCATTTGTGGAGTATAGCAAAGAAGCAAAACTGATGGAACAAAATAGCAACAGACTCAGAGACTCCAAGGAGGAACTAGTGGTTACCAAAGGGGAGGGGTGTGGGAGGGAGGGTTGCGAGGGAGGGAGAAGGGGGTTGAAGGGTATTATGGTTGGCACACATGGGTTGGGGGGATCATGGGGAAGACAGTGACGCACAGAGAAGGCAAATAGTGACTCTGTGGCATCTTACTACACTGATGGGCAGTGACTGCATTGGGGTATGGGAGCAACACAATAACAGGGGTGAATGTAGTAACCACATTGTTTTTTTATGTGAAACCTTCATAAGGGTGTATATCAATAATATCTTAATAAAAAACAGTTGTCAAAAATAAACAAAATCTTTAACTTCTAAGGTACCAACTATGTGAAGTGATATTGTTATGACTGAATTCATTATTACATGAAGATACTCAAGAAAGGATTGATGCTGATTCTCATACTTCTCTCAGTGCCCTGAACATTTCAAAAGGAAAGCAGGTACGAGTCTGTCTTTTATCTCTCCACTGTTGCAGGTATATAGTCTTCTGACTATGAAGGATCTCATTGATTTCCCTGAAAATTTAGACCAGCAGGAGGAAGAACAAGCCAGCTGTACCCATCCTTATCTCATCCACAATGGGGCCATCTATACTCCCTTAGCAAGTCATGATGAAGAAGATATATATAGCCTCCTAAAGGTAAAACCCTCATTACTTACTAAGGTACTGGCTTATGAATGTTTGGATGTCAGCAAAAACTTTATATATATATAAGCAATTTTACAAATTGTTTATTGCATGACAGTAAGTCAGAGTCAGAGCTAAACCTAACCTCTGCCATTTCATTCAGTATATTTAGTTATATTTAGTTTGTTTGCAAAAGACCATAGGTAATAAAATCTTAATAAGCCATAAAGTATTGTAATTTTATCACTCTATTTATTTATATTTCTTGAGTCTGTGTATCTCCATGGAATTAACATAATATTAAGGCTAGTGGAATTACATAGGGAATTTCTAAGGAAAATATGTTACATATATCCACAAATTTACAACTTTACTGAGTCATAATTTTTACAGGGTATGGGATTAAAGGTGTTCACCAACTCTAAAATCCAAAAAATGCATTCATGCTCAGTTACTGATCTACCTGCAGAAACGGGAGGACAAATATGGCATGGAGGTAAAATAAGTTGCTGTCATTTTGTGTCACATCTAATAATATTACTTAGCCAAAAAAGGTAAAAAAAGATATATAATACAGTCTTATCTCCATTTTAAACATAAAGAAATCAAGATTCAGATAAGATGTTTCTTGCTGAACTCAGCTGGTAAATGGCATAGCCAGAATGGACCACAGGATTGTTTATTTTTAGATGAGTCACATATTTTAAGGCACAAAATCAGATGAAATATAAGATTCTTAAGTACTATAAGAGAGGAAAGAAGCTTACAATGGAAGAAGAGAAATAATTCTAATTATGGAATCAGACATTCACAGAGATTCTATTATCTTAACAGGAGAAAAGGCCTCACTGTGAAAAGAAACAGTGTAATTATGGCAGAAATATCTCATAATTGAGGTATCTCAACTCAAAAAATGACAAAACGTCAAATAAAAGAGCCTTTTTTAGGCCCTTCAACATCCCATTAAACTATCTGTCCCAATCCCTAGATCTATTTATACTTGCAGCCCATTTCCAACCCTTTTTCTTCCCTCTCTCTCACAATTCTGACTGCCCTTTTCTCCAAAATATCCTCCATATTTATCTGTTTATAAAGATTAGCATTTTTTGAGATTTGGATTATGAATCAGAGCTTCTGTGTGACATGGGCACGCAGTGTCTCTTCTCTAAGCCTCAAATCCTGCATTAACAAGTCCTTAACAAATTTGACTAAAGGTTCCCCAAGGCCTTTCAAAATAACCAATAAAAGAAGTAAATGGAATGTATCAAAATAATTCAACAATTTTGTTTAAAAATTGTTTCCTGTGGAAGACAGTATGGAGAGTTCTCAAAAAACTGAAAATGGAAATATCATATGACCCAGCAATTCCACTTCTGGGCATTTACAGTCATAGAAACAAAACCAATAGTAGAAAATACCTGGGGTGCTGACTACTTTTTGGGAAACAGCTGAGAGGTAGATATATGACAGATAGCTTTATTGAAGCATAATTGATAAACATTGTAAAGTTTGAACTATACAATGTGTGGATTTGATACACATATACTGTGAAATGATTATCAGTATACCATTAACTAACATCTTCATCACCTCATAATCTCTATTTCTTTTTTATGGTTATCACTTTTCAAATGGAAAAATTGAACCCAAAAGAGTTAAGTAACTCAGCTGGTAAGATTTCCACAGCCAGGAGAAAAAAGGAATGGGTGTTCAAATCAGGCAGTTTGAATCCAGATCTATATATTTTTTAACCTCTCCACTATTCTGTCTCTCAAAGACTGTAGGTTGAGAGTTTGCTTGGAATGTTCTAAGAGTAAGGAAACCAGTGTAGTTGGAACAGGGCAAGTGAGAAAAGGTGGAGAGACAGCTCAGAGGACTGGCTGAGGTCAGATTGTGTAGGTCCTTGTAGATCATCATAAGGATTTGACTTCTTACTCTGCATAAGATGGAGAGATGTTGAGAAGAGGATCTTATATGCTTCTTAGAAGATCACTCTAGATACTAAATTTACAAGAAAATAAATGTTTTCATTTTTATACTTTCTGCTTGAAAGTAGCGAAGGTCAAAAATGAGTACAATTACTACAAAGCTAGATTGAGCAACTTTTTTAAAGTCATGATCAAAATAACCCAGTTATAAGTGTTTTGTGATCAGCAAAGAAACAGAATGTGTTAGCCCAGTTGTCAACACGATGTCATGAAATCAGATGGGGAAAAGAAATAAAAATGTAAAATAAAATGTTGTCTTGGGAAATGAATTAAAGGGCATTTACAGGGGAGTTTATTAGTTGTGACATGAGGAAGAAAAGAATTTTAACACCAAAACTATGAAAGGATAGGTAAAGTCAAGTTGACACTGAGAATGAGAAAATAAGGAAGATACAGTCATCTTCACCATCCAATAAATGGCATTCAAATAACACATTATGCCATAGTTTTGTCAGCTATGAAGTGGGAGGGTCTTTGACATCTGGAGTGAGAAGTGGGAAATAGTTCATGTAGATTGATTATTCATTTAGATGGATTATCCATTTAGATATATTTAAGTATTAAAAATCCATTTAAGTATTAAATATGAGGAAAGACAAGAGACAGTAAAATAGCAGTGGGAAATCAAAACTAGAGGTAGAAATGGCTACGACTTGGAAACGCATGAGTGAAAGCTGTATATTTATTAAAGAAATTACAAGTGATGCTTTTTACAGATATATTGAGGGAAAGTATTGATGGAAGCATTGAGGGAAAATGTCTGGAAATATGTTTTTCCATATAAACGTTCTTTCACAAGGGATTCCTGAAATAGATAGGAAATGTGGATGGCCAAATGCAGACTCAATTTTCATTATCAGGCACAATATGAACCAAAAAGCCTTTATGTTTAGTTCTCTATCTTCTCCCTTCTTTGAATATTTGATGTCTTTGTTGCAATCATAGAGATATATACCATATGGAAACGTCTCTCTTTGGCATCTTGAATTGTTCATTTCTCCTTTCTGTAAAATATATAGAATAAAATCTAATGTTCCAGCCTTGTTATCAAGAGAGCAATGAGTTTAGAACTTCAATATAGTACACAAATTGATAATATTAAATTCTGTTCATTACACTGGCAATGCAGTTTCCTGTAGAGCCACCACTCACATTGCCTAAAGAGAGTTGCACATTTTCTGCTCAATCTTCCTGTGGAGGAAACAATCCACTCTGACCTGGAAAACCCTCTATTTCCCCCACAAACCATAAAACTATCTCCAGGTTAGTTTTTTCTTCCAACCTCCATTCACATAAAATGTTGCTCTCTCTAGGATATGTGGAATTTCTACCTTTAACAAGGATTCCTATCTGTTCAAAGAATGAAGGATCAAGCAATTATTTCCAAAATTCTACAGTTCTTCATAGACAATCCAAGCAAGAAAACTGAACATTTGCTCTCCTAAGTCCCACATCTGCACCAGGAAATGAATGGATGCTTTTTCTTTTAACTCGACTGGAATTTTATCTTCTTAGGTGGAGGAATGGCAAGGAGTTCATATGCTCCTCAATTCGACATGTATGGTATAACAGCTGCAAATAACATACAAAGTCCAGAGCCAATCTCTGAAACTGTGAGAACTTATTTTCCTGAGACCTGGATCTGGGAATTGGTGGTGGTGGAGTAAGTAACTTCACTCTCTCCGGTGCTGTGGGTGCGGGTGGGTCCTCCTGCATTCTCAACTCTAAGATACGTTTCTGCGAAGTTCTAAATAATTGTTTTACCCTCCTATCATTTCAGGGTAGACCAAAGAAAATACTTTTATTGCACACGTTCACTAGTACAATTGTCTCAGAGCTGAGAAATTCTAAAATAATTATTCCTGAGGCTGCCAGAAAATGGACATGGGAGCTGAAAATATTTATGCCATAAATATGCTTATTTATGGGGTTGTACAATAGGGAGGGTAGTTTAAGAACCTAACTGACTCACACTCAAATATTTCTATTTAAGACACACACATGTGTGATGTAGCCATAGGGTTGATAAGGGAAAAAGGTACCATATTGTGCCTTTCATTTTCCCAATTCAGTCCCCAATGCATATTCTAGTGTACGTGTGTGCATTTGCACATGAACCCTTAAGTAGATTCAGTTCTTTTTTTAATTGAAGTATAATTGATGTATATTATATCAACTATAGAGAGTTGGTTTCAAGGGTACAACACAATGATTCAACAGTTATCTACATTATTAAATGCTCACCTTAACTAGTGTAGTTACTATCAACATAGAAAGATGTTACAGAATTACTGGCTACATTCTGCATGCTGACTTTCCTCCCTGTAACTAATTTATATTACAATTGAGATTTTATGCCTCACCCACCCACCTATTTCACCCTCCTCTCTCTCTCCCCCATAGTAACCACCAGTCACTTCTCAGGATCTATGAGTCTACTGTGGTTTTGTTCATTTTGTTGTTAGAGTCTACATATAAGTGAAATCATATGGCATTTGTCTTTCTCTGGTTTATTTTACTTAGTAAATACCCTCCAGGTCTATCTATGTTCTCGCAAATAGCAGAATTTCTTTTTTATGGCCAAGTAATATTCCATTGTGTATATATACCACATTTTATTTATCTATTCATCTATTGATGGACTTCAGTTGCTTCCATATCTTGGCTATTGGAAATAATGAGGCAATAAATATAGGAATGAATATGTCTTTTCAAATAAGATATTTTATTTTCTTTGCATAAATTCCTAGAATTCCTAGAAATTACTAGGCTGTATGGGTTTTTATTTTGAGGAACCTATAGTTTTTTGAGGAACTTTCACACTGCTTTCCATAGTGGCTGCACCAATTTACATACCAGCTCCCCACAACAGTTTAGGAGGGTTTCTTTTTCTCCACATCCTCACCAAGACTTGTTATTTATTATCTTTTGGATAGCAGCCATTCTGACTGGTGTGAGGTGATATCTCACTATGGTTTTGATTTGCATTTCCCTGATGATTAGTGATGAGGAGCATCTTTTCATTTGCCCATTGGTCATCTGTATTCCTTCTTTGGAAAAATGTCTATTTGAGTTTGCTGCCCATTTTTTAATTGGGTTTTTTGCTTTTTGGCATTGAATCATATGAGTTCCTTACATATTTTGAATCTTAACCCCTTATTAGATAAATCATTTACAGATATATTCTCCTGCCATTTTGTTCTGCTAATGGTGTCCTTTGCTGTACAGAAACTTTTTAGTTTGATGTGGGCCCATTTGTTTATTTTTGCTTTTGTTTCCCTTGTCTGAGGAGATTTTTCCAGGAAAAATTTGCTCATGCTGATGTTCAAGAGATTTTTACCCATGTTTTCTTCTAAGAGATTTTTGGTTTCATGTCTTATATTTATATCTTTAATCCATTTAGAGTTTACTTTTATGTATGATATCTTTTGGTAATCCAAGTTCATTCTCTTGCATGTAGCTATCCAGTTTTCCCAACATCATTTATTGAAGTGACTGTCTTTTCTGCATTGTATATTCCTGCCTCCCTTGTCGCACATTAATTGTCCATATATTCATGGGTTTATTTCTGGGCTCTCTATTCTGCTCCACTGATCTGTGTCTGTTCTTGTTCCAGTATCATACTGCTTTGATTATTATAGCTTTGTAGCATAGCTTGAAGTCAGGGAGCCCAATACCCCCAGCTTTCATCTTTCTCAGGATTGCTTTGGCTATTTGGATCTTTCGTGATTCCATATCAATTTTACGATTATTTGCTCTAGTTCATTGAAAAAGGCCATTGGTATTTTAATAGGGATTGCACTGAGTCTGTAAATTGCTTATGGTGAGTGGATTCAGTTCCTGACAGTGGATGACATTCTCACTTGAGAAAAGACATTTCAACTGCTTACTTCCTGTTCTTCACATTGCCATTCTCCCCAGCTCCTCAGGTGTGGCGAAAGTCAGAGTAACAGTCCCTGATACCATCACTGAGTGGAACACAGGGGCTCTCTGCCTTTCCAATAACACCAGACTTGGTCTATCTCCGACTGCCTCTCTCCAAGCCTTCCAGCCCTTCTTTGTGGAAGCTCACAATGCCCTACTCTGTGATCCACGGAGAGGCCTTCACACTCAAGGCCACTGTCCTAAACTACCTTCCCAAATGCATCCAGGTAAGGAAAATAAGGGTGAATTGAAAGAGTGGACAGAATCAAAGACTCCTTGATCAGCTTGTGATTATGTTCCCAAGACTATGGATAATTCTGGGATTTATGTTCTAGCACTGCAAATAAATAGTGCAAGGCAAAGCAGGACATGATCAGAAAGATATCACAATGACATATAAGCTACTGAAACCATGGATCTCCAAACCACATGACTTTTCTTTTTTGTTTTGTTTTGTTTCCTGAACGTTGGAGAATCCTCTACCACCATTTAGGCTTTTTGCCAGGAAAATTCTTGACACTGACACTGAATTCAGTTTTCCTAATTCTATGAGTGTCATTTTTCAAGCCCTCACCTTTAAACTCCGACGACATACTTTTAACTTCTCTTACAGCACATAACTCTTTCTACTTTATGTCATCACTTGTGTATAGATTGACCCCTTTGTAACACAATATCCTAAAAGTCAGGAATGTCTTATATACCCACCATAATTTGCTATGTCTTGTATAGAATAGACATGTAATAGATACTGGAGGAAGTGGGGAGAAGGAGGAAGGAAGAAAGGAAGAGAATCTACATAAGGACAGTAGGTGGTGCTCCCCTGGGGCGATATACCATTGCTGCTTTTCCCTCCCCTCCACTGCTGGTACATCTGCAGATTTCTCTAACCTACCCTAATGCAAATGCCAGATCCTCCTACTATATGATGTAATGATTTATGTCATTTCCATTTATGTCATTGCACATCATAGTTTGTTTTTTTCCCCTAAATCCCAATTTAGTACAGCATTTCACATGTGGCCCCAATTTCATGCATCATTGGCTTTCCATACTCTGACCATTTCTGTTTCTATGCCTCATTTGTGAATGACAGGTCAGCGTACAACTGAAAAACTCTTCAGCCTTCCTTCAATCCGAAAATGAAAAGGGAAAAGAATCCTATTGCATCTGTGCAAATGAGAGACAAACTTTGTCTTGGACAATAACTCCTAAAACTCTAGGTGAGTAACATTCTCCAAAAAGATTCACCAATCAACAAGGGTAGTGGATATCTGAACACTACTTATAAAATATTTTCTTTTTTGCCCGCCACTAACATATTCTGTAAAGTTAATTATTTTTCTTCTTTTGATTTCTATCCAAAATGACCCCTTCCTACTACTCCCACTGCCCCTGGGCCTCACAATCACTATGCATGGGCTTTGGTTACTCAGTGTACATTAGCCTTGGGATTTTTATTTTTCAGCTTTATTTCCTATTCCCTCCAGCTGTAAGGTTAAAGTGCAGTCCTTCAAGATGATTCCAGAGCATAGAGTCATTTTCAGCTATTAGGGGTGGCTTGGATTACTATCAAGATGAATACTCATTTTTCTACATTCTTTGTGTTAGGGAATGTGAACTTCTCGGTGAGCACAGAGGCAGTGCACCCTCTTGAGCTGTGTGGAAATGAGGTTGCTGACGTCCCTGAGATTGGGAGGAAAGACACCATCATCAAGACCTTGTTGGTGGAGGCAAGTCAGTCTCTCAACCACCGTATTTCTCTTGAGGCCCTAGCGGTAATGATAAAAACAACATGGCCATTCTTGAGGTAACAAAAGATAATACCATGTTCACACAAACCATCTGATAAGACTAATGAAATTTCCTATCCCATAAGTATCATGGCAAACCTTACTATCTAAGCTTGTTAGCTTATTGTAAATAGTGTTTTCATAAATTGAAAGCCACTTTTTTTTATCTCTACCTCTTTTCTAAGATCCTCATATTTTTCACATGTATGATTTAATTTGATTCTCTGATTTTATTATCCCTCATTTTCTCCTCTGCCAATTTTCCTGGTTCTTGAATGTTTTATGGACTTGCAATAATTTGATCATAACTAGGATTTATTTAGTTATGTGTAAAACTAAATAAAACTCATTTAGTGTAAAACTCACCCTTCAAAGCAAGGAATCTGTGGTTGTCCTTCAGTTACCTGACTGTTGTACCCTTTTCTCCTTTTCTTTCTTTTCACAAAGCCTGAAGGTATTGAGCAAGAAAAGACTTTCACCTCTATGACCTGTGCTTCAGGTAAGTCCGTCTTCCCGATCAGTGAGAACCATGCCCACAGGGGTGTGTATTTCAAGTTACAATGAATGTCCATACACGAGGACACTGAACCCAAGAGAGTGTGTTACCATGGCCCGGGGATACAGACAAGACTAATACTGGGGCTTATTTGGTGAACATTTAGCTTTTACCTCCATAGCCCAGCAGCTGCTCATTAACCAGGCAGGATGTAGCAGCTAAGAGTGTCACAGGACCAGGCAGAAAGGCAGCAGAGTCGTGACACATTTGAATAACAGCAATATTGTTTAAAATAGCTGATGATGAAATATATGGCACTTTGTATCCATCTTAATAAAACAATGTTTGCCATGGCAAAAAGCCCACAAAACTGGGACTTTATCATATCATTAAGAAACCATTGCAGCTTTTAAATTACATTGGCAGATAGATATCATTTCTATGTCTGTAATGTGGACGACACTGTTCTTGTCATTTGTAAAGAACCAATTCAAGGTATAAGATCAGAGAACAATAAAATTAGAGAAATATATGACTAAATAAAAAAAAATATAGATCCCTGCCAGCTCCTAGCCTTCTTTTAGAGAGCTACTTTGCACAGCAACACAAAACATGGTCAAGTGAAAGGGGACAGAATTCTGGAGGTCACATAGAAGAGCTGGACTATTAAAGGTAATATCATAAGTCAAAAGTCTTATCCTTTGGACCCAGGGATCCTGAAGGAGACTATATATACTCATACTACTATTACTAAATACAATAATAATTAAAATAATCATAACTGCTCTCAGGTATTGAGATTTAATATGTTATAGAGGCTGTCCTAATATGTATATTTTACATGTATTATTTCATTGAATCATCACATGAGCAAGTTAGATTATGAAGAGGTTATTTGTCCAAGAAGCATAGCTAGCAAGTGGCAGGGTCAGTACCACATGCAGGCCGTGTGGCCACTCCTACATGCTGCAGTATGTTGCTGTGAAAGATGTCATTCTTTGATATGGGTTGTCTGTTTCCAAAGGTACTGAAATATCTGAGCAGTTATCCCTGAAGCTCCCTGCAAATGTGGTCAGAGAATCTGCCAGAGCCTCTTTCTCAGTTTTGGGTGAGTCCTCTTGAACCTAGGAAACTTTGGATGAAAGAGCTGCCATTATACATCCTATCTATGTATTTGTGTTCTGAATACCAACTTACTGAGAGTGTCTGTTTCGACTGGAATCCTGGAAGGCTCACTCTCTCTAAATACAAATTTCCCCCTGCCTAAGTGATAAGTGTCTGACTCTAAACAGGAAAATAATTTGCCTTCAATAATGTCGGCTACTTATGAACTGAAATTAACCTGACATCTAACCTTTCATGTTCCCCAGGTGACATACTAGGTTCTGCTATGCAAAATATACAGAATCTCCTCCACATGCCCTACGGCTGTGGAGAACAGAACATGGTCCTCTTTGCTCCTAATATCTATGTCTTGAACTATCTGAATGAAACTCAACAGTTGACTCCAGAGATCAAGTCCAAGGCCATTAGCTATCTCATCAGTGGTAAGTGGGACAAAGCTGTTTACTTTGTGACTCTAATAAGACTTTTCCCGATTGAGCTTGAGTTACATCACAAGAGATTAAGCTAATGATGGTGATTTTTGTGGAAATGGCAATTTTCCCACTCTCTAATAGGGTGCTGGTCTTTGAAATATCCCTAATAGCCATGAAACTATGGCAGATCCCACACCCAGGAGACCACAAAACAATGGTAGATCCTAGATGTATTAACCTGCACCTACAGGTGGCCTGCCTTTCTGTAATATTTCTTATACTAACTGAACCTTTCATTCCAGGTTACCAGAGACAGCTGAACTACAAACACCAGGATGGTTCCTATAGCACCTTTGGGGAGCAATACAGCAGGAATCAGGGCAACACTTGGTAAGGAAAGAAAATCTATTCTGAGTTTCAACTACCAGTTCAAAGTGTGTGCATACATTAGCCTATTTACTTCTTACAACAATCCTGTGAAGTGAGAGCTATTAACTTCATTTTACAGAGAGGAAATGATACTCATTGTGGATAATAAATGCCTCTGGTATAAACAACTAATCAGTGACAGAACTCAGAACATTTTGAAGTTGGTTCTTTTTATATCCAATGCACCAAGACACTTTCCTTCCTTGTGTTGCTAATGGACCATTTCAAGTTTGTGGTTGGCCTTCTTCAGCTGTTGCTCAGCACCAAGAAATGCTAGGAACAGGCTAGAAAAATGGTGCCCATTACTCACAGAGCATACTTTGCTACTTTCTACCAGATGACTCTCTGTCTCTATCTACCTATCTATGTCTGTCTATCTGCAAATCATCTATCATCTTTCTATAATCTGTCTGTCTTGACTAAGTCTGACCACACAGGAAAACAAGAGGAAATTAATGACCTATTGGGTCCCAGAAGTCCCCAATTAATGACCACTTCCCAGAAGTGGTGGAGGGGCAGGGTGATGTGGAGGGACATATTTACTGAAGCAGGACATTAAAAGAAGCTAGTCCTTTAGAGCATTAGCTGCAGGAGAGAAGAAATCTGTGAAAAGAAATACATGCGGAAAGATTAGAAGGTGAGAGGAAATATCTTAACCACCCAAGGAAACTAGGAGGAACGTGAACCTCCCTAAAAGGGTTAACACTAAAAGTCTGCAAACTCTCAGGAGTGGCTCACTGACCCTCCTGAAGGTGCCCTGGAGGGAGAGGGAGTCTATGTGTGCAAAACAGAGCATTCAGGTGCCACCTGGAAACAAATGGCATCAGCATCCACTCTTCCTCCCTTCCCCCTAGGCTCACGGCCTTCGTATTGAAGACTTTCGCCCAGGCTCGAACCTACATCTTCATCGATGAAGCACACATTACCCAAGCCCTCGCCTGGCTCTCCCGAAAGCAGAAGGACAATGGCTGTTTCAGGAGCTCTGGGTCACTGCTCAACAATGCCCTTACGGTGAGGTGTTGTGATTACTTATCCTGAGCCTCATGATGCACTGAACTAACCTGCCTGGTAAGGGGAGAAATTGCAATGATGAAGTCCTACATAATGTGCAAGAGCATCAGGGAAGGGGTATAAAACCTGAAAATTATAGCAAAGAAAAAAATGGTACATTGTGTGAGAATGCTATTTTGCTTTAAAGAGACAGATACTGAAGAGAGTTTCCATGGAATAACAGAAGAGAATGTACTAAAATTTGGAAGTAAAATTCATCATTCCCCACCATCCCCCAACCTTTCTCTCATGTTTACAGGGAGGAGTAGACGATGAAGTGACCCTCTCTGCCTATGTTACTGTTGCCTTTCTGGAGATTCCTCTTCCAGTCACCGTAAGATCCACTTCAATCCCATTTCCTGCCATGAAAACTACAGTCCTGGTGTCTGCAATACTTTCCTGCTAAAAGTCAAGTCTCACTATCGCTTTTGCTCAATGATGAGGCATCTCTCAGCTAGATAAGCTCTTGAATCAATCCCATTAAGGGGACTTCATACTTGCCCAGGAATGCCCTTGGACTATGTACCAAAGCTAATCCTGAAAAGACAGGTTCTCTAGCCTTATTCTTTAAGACTTAACTACAAAGTTAAGAGATTTAAGATTTTTTTTTAATTTAAATATAGTGGATATTGGGGTGTCTACCTGGCTGGCCGAAAACCATGAATGACATCTGTCAGTCAGCACCCAGCTCAGGTCTTGCTCCATCATCCTCTTATCCTAGTCTGACACCAGCACCTCTTTGTCTTTATAGCACCCTGTTATTCGCAGTGCCCTGTTCTGCCTTGAGTCTGCCTGGAACACAGCAAAGGAGGGCACCCATGGGAGCCATCGCTACACCAAGGCACTGCTGGCCTATGCGTTTGCCCTAGCAGGAAACCAAGATAGAAAGAGAGAAATACTGAGCGCTCTTGCTGAGGAAGCTGTGAAAGAAGGTGACAGGAAATGGTAAAAATCTCCCCCTTCCATTTCCACTGATTCTATAAAAAGGGAAGAGTATATTCCTGCTGAAAGTAATAGGCTTCATCTGGAATTCCTCAGCCGTCACATATTGAGAGATCAGAGCACCTCTTATAAAAATGTCTTCTCTGGGATTGCATATGTTAAACAGCCTGTAACATAATAGACAGCAGGTAAACTATAGAATTCATTCCTACCTGCTAAGACCAATATTTCAGACCGTGTGTGTGTGTGTGTGTGTGTGTGTACATAAATATGTGTTATATGAATATACTATACTCATGTATATTATACATATTATATATCATGTGAAATATGTATACCATCCTACATGTATCTGTCTATATATTTGGATGAAAAGAGGCACAACAAAAAGCCAAACTTAAGGAAACTGCAAAATAGAAGTGCTTTTATCTCTATTTGCTAGGGAGATTATCACAAAAGTCCTCCGACACCAGAAGGTAGACTTTATATTCTGATCTATACTCCAATTCCCAGGAAATGTCACTGACCATGAAAGAACACTCCCTGTCATTTTTCTTTTCCACCAATCCAATTAAAATAGCATTTGAGAGATTGTAAGGACGCCCTGTGCTTCCTCTTCCAACAACATTCTTCAAGTTAGGCCCACGGGCGAAGCCAGCCCAGCACAGAAGTGTGAGTTAGTGAGATCGGGAGCTGATGACAGAGGATCTTACTTCATCTCTTCATTATTTTCAGTTCCATACGATATGAATGTGTATTTGCTTATTATCTACCAATAGTTATAAGTCTCTCCTTTTTCTCACCCTTAAGACAACTCAGTCCACTGGGAGCGAACTCAGAAACCCAGGGCAGCAGTGGGGTCTTTTAAGCAGCCCCGGGCTCCCTCCGCGGAGGTGGAGATGACGTCCTACGTGCTCCTCACTTACCTCACGGCCCAGCCCGCCCGGCCCCAGAGGACCTGACCTCTGGAACGCACACTGTGAAGTGGATCACAAAGCAACAGAATTCCCATGGGGGCTTCTCCTCCACCCACGTCAGGGATTCTCAGATAGTCACCTCCTCCTGATTCTCTTGACAGTTGGGAAGCTTGAAAACGGAACAGTTACAAGAAAAAGAGAATAGAAATCATTAAATCTTAGAAGTGTTATTTAGGGATATTTGAAGACAGCGGTAACATGGAGAAAAAGACCTCAGACATTTCCCCCTAAACAATTTTGCTAAACCCTATATTAACATCCTATATCAATTTGGCTACCTAGCATAACCATTCCTCTCTAAAGCTTAGACACATCAGTCAATGGCCAGACTCTAGAGTTTCTGGATATCAGTACCATTGATATTTTGGGCCAGATAACTGTTGCTGGGGGGCTGTCCTGGCCATTGTAAGAAGGTTGGAGCCTCTCTGGCCCCTGCTCCCTAGACATCACTCGCACCCCACTCCCAGGTGAGACGAGGCCAAATCGCCCCAGTTGAGAATGAATGTTCAGGACTACAGACCATGTCTTTAGAATCCTACGTCCTCCAAAGGAAGCAGAAAACTGTGTGAATAAGAGAAATGTGACCAAGTAGAGCTCACTTTCATCTTCATAGAATGATCGAGAAATTCTGTCAAACTACTCCAAGCAGCTCAGCCTCTCCACCCCTTCCTACCTCCCCTGAGAACTCCCTTCTTACTTCCCCTTTGGACTGATTTTTTTTTAAAAGCTCAAGTTCTTGAAAGTTTCTTCATTTTTCTTACCACAATTCTGGAAATAATTTACTGATGACATAAATGATGTGTTAACCAGCCAGAGAATCTGGGGTTTCCCTCTTACACAGATCTTTCAACATTTCAGATGTACATAGTGAATTTTTGTTCTTCAGAGAGATTATGTGGGGAAAATGGAAACAAATGTAAAGGGAAAAAGGAAGTTGGGCAAGTACAATTTGTCTTATACCTTTATTGACAGTCAATATCTCTCATTCTTCCACCTCAATTTACACCAGTCACTATTTTTGTCTTAAAATTCTTAATTTTAGACCTGTTCTTTAAAAGATAGAGGCAAGAGGACAGCTGAGGAGAAAGAACAAGTCCACAACTTCCAGATACAGAGAACAGTCCCTCAAGCCAGTACCAGTGAAAGTAAATTGTGAGGCTAATTGGCATCAGTAATGTTTTATTTCATTTGGAGAAACTGTAGAATGACTTTAATTATTCCTGAAAGACAGAGGACAAAAAAAAAGGAAAAGCCATTAGCAGGTGTATACTGTAATGGGGGGAAGCCAGCATCCCCTGTGGCAGCTCACGCAGACTAGTGGGGGAAATCCCAGCTACCAAAACGGATCCCCTGGGGGCGGGCTTTTTGTTCATCTCTTCCAGGACACAGTGGTGGCTCTCCATGCCCTGTCCAGATACGGAGCAGCCACTTTCACCAGGACTGGGAAGGCTGCACAGGTGACCATTCAGAGGTCACGCACCGTTTCCCAAAACTTCCAAGTGGACAGCAGCAGCCGCCTGCTGCTACAGCAGATCCCGTTGCCAGAGCTGCCCGGGGAATACAGCGTAACAGTGACTGGGGAGGGATGCGTATATCTTCAGGTGAGACTCTGGAGTGATGTTGGAAAGAGCAACTTTAACCTCTCCTACTGAAAGGGAAGCTCTCTTCCTTCCTTCCTAGGCAATTAAGGGGTAAATCTGGAGAAGTTAAATGATGAGAAAGGGGAGTCCCTGGAAAAGGGGAAACTGATGGTGTAATTGGTGTTCCACATACGTCCATGAAATACAATATTCTTCCCGAGAAGGAGGACTCCCCATTTGCTCTGAAGGTGTGGACTCTGCCCCAAACTTGTGATGGACCCAAGGCCCACACCGGCTTCCAGGTCTCACTGAATGTCAGGTGAGACCTCTGACTGTATCACCCAATCCTGGGTACAAGAGCTACCTGGGACCTTCGGCAATAAATAATATATTTGGAAGCTATGCTATTGATGAATATGATTTGAAATTGACATATCTACCAACAAAGGTAGCCTTTTATGATTATGAAGTGATTCTTTTCTCCAGTAATTTTTTTGTTTTCAAGTTCCAGTAATATTTAAAAGTAAAATCTGGTCTTAAATCTACCAAATAAAAGAATGTGGGCTTTTCAAGTGTTTTAATCAATTCCTACTTTATTCTTAAACTAATTTTTGTTCAACTCATTGCTAAAGGATAAATTGTTTTCCTTAAAGATTTGTTCTTTAAGTTGAAGAAAGTTTTCCTTACCTCTTCTGAATAATTAAATTACTTTTCTAATCAAATTGATAAATAACAAATGTTAATATTAAATAAAAAATATACATTAAATATAAAATATAGAAATTGCCCTATCGTAACCCATCAAAAACTGTACAGGATTCCTAAGAAAACATAGCAGCAAATGATACTGCTATGTATCTAATACTAATGGTATTGATATTATAAAACAAATGGTATTTCAGAGAGCCAACCTAATTATTAAACATCAGTTTATTCAAAGTATAAAGCATAAGAGTCTATATCTGATCTCTCAGTACTCTGGAGTATCTCTAGAGAGACATGCTACATTCAGATTGTCCAAAAATATAAAAGTCATACATACTAAATAGCAAATGAATAGTACAGATGGAGTGTCCAAAAACTGTCAGTGTGTTAAAAATGCAGATTACCAAGCTCCACTCTCAAAGATTCTGATTTGATCATTTTAGACTAAGGCTTCAACATCTATGATTTTAGTAATTCAAGGTCCCAAAAATCAATATCATACACATCGAGGGAACACACATTTCTATGGATAGTAATGTTAGGGAAAACTTCATGAAGATGGACAGGCTTATGGTGGGACTTGAAGGAAAACAGCTGGCTTTCTATCACAAACCAAACCCTAACTCTGTTCTTCTTTGACACTACAGTTACACAGGGAGCCACCCAGTCTCCAATATGGTGATTGTTGATGTAAAGATGGTATCTGGTTTTATTCCCTTGAAACCAACAGTAAAAATGGTAGGTATATTTTAAGCCTAGTAGATTTCATGCAAAGATCTGTATCTTCAAACAGAGACCATGCCGGCAATCAAAGCCCTATCAATATCACCCGGCCTCAAAAAAATATTTTTTCCTAACTCAGGAAATTAAATTCATTATTTGTCTCTCAGCTAAGAGACTTCCGTGATACCAGAGAAATACATGAGTGCCTATCCTTAAGTTACTCACAGTCTAGTTAGGGATTTAAAGCACATGGGCCTGAAACAGTAAAATCACAATACAAGACAGACGATGATTAATTACCAAATTGACGTCAGCAATGATAAAATCAATATGAGCTAAAATCATCAAAGATGCCAGAGGGTCTAATGTGATACTTGGATATTGAAACATGGCAGAAATCCTGATTTCTCAAAATACCTGGCTTCCTTCTCTTCATAGAAAGCCAGAAGGTTTTTCCACAGTCGAGTCATGACAGCGTTGAAGACTGTCTCCAAAATGGGATTCTTTCCCCTCCCCAACCTTTTCTATTTCTAATGCATCCTAGCTATTTAATCATGAAGATGACTTCTAGCTCTCACATTGTTTGGAGAAAACACATTTGTCTCTTACTACTGTCTACTCTGGTTCTCTAACTTTCTGCGTTCTCTCATTTTCTTCAGCTTGAAAGATGTAGCCATGTGAGCAGGACAGATATGAGCAATAACCACGTCCTCGTTTACATGGAACAGGTAAGAGCACCGACTTTCTGCATGTCAGTGGCCTTTCTAAGTTCATCTCTTCACTAGAAAACAAGTAGTATGAGGAAAGCAATACTTAGTAGTGCCCTTCCAGAAAGTGCCTCTATTCTAATGAGAATTAAAGAGAAATCTTTTAAATGCATGGAGTATTCTGCTCTCTTTTTAATTATGTTAAAATTGGAATTTGAGTATTTCTATGAAATTTCAAGTACAAAATCAATAGAATAAAAGGTTTCTTGCATCTGTCTGTTACTTTAAGACCCCCCTCACCAAAAGAATAAATAAACCACAGTGGTTGATTAGTGATAGTGTTAGATTAATAGATACATTCATGATGGTGTTAACTTTCTGGTATATCACTACATAAAATAAAATGTAGATCTTGAGAATATCTTCAAATCTGACCATAACGCAAAGGGAATGTTCTTATCTAGCTACACAAAAAGAATAATTTGATATTATAATTACAAATGGTACAAAGCCAGTCTCTGCATCCTAGAAAATATTCACATAGGCCCAGAGAGTTAATCTCATACTGACAACTACAGAGAATATGGATTGTCTCAGTTGTTTAGGAGAAAATCTGGAGAATTTTGTTCATGGTAAAGTATTTCCAAGGTTGCATTCTGAAATCCATCTTGACATCCACAAATGTTTGCTCACCTAAATGACATGGCATGGGTTCATAAGAGTCAGAGAACAATAAAAAATATGTTTTAGTCAAGAAAGAGAAAGAGGCTTTCTTAGCCTCTTGATTACTTCCACTTTTCTTCTTAGGTGACAAATCAGACACTAAGCTTTTCCTTCATGGTTCTGCAAGACATTCCAGTAAGAGATCTAAAGCCAGCAACTATTAAAGTCTACGATTACTATGAGACAGGTGAGTGAGAAAAAACTGAGACAAATAAATTATCTCAGCCCAGAGCCAAGAAATATTCATATGGTGACAATACATCCTGCTTTGTGTCCATTTAGGCAATACAATATCTATTTGTTTCTTTCCTCTAAGATACATCCCATTAGAAACCACTTAAAGAATATATTACTTATTATTTATCAATACAAAAACCAAAACATTTTAAAAGAAGGATATCTGGTCATCGTTCTTCAATAGTTTGGAGATACAGAGAATATAATGCTTATGAACAGATAACGTAAGGAAAGGCAGCTAATGACAAATGAGTGTTAGGAGATGAGTGGAAGCTGGGAGGTGAAAAAGCACCTTGAGGCTGGTGCTCAAGGAAGATCTCAGCTGGATGCTGAAGGGCAGGTAAAACTTCTACTGTAAGCAGAGGTAGGAAGCGCTTCGGGCTGGAGCAGTGATCTTAGAAAAGGAATTAAGGAAGCAAAATGGACCAAGTGGGTAGAAACAGAGAGTTCATGAAAGAGAGAATTACAAGCTAACGCAATGATGGAAATTGTCCTAAGTATTTAAAATTTGAGCAGCTACTATCAGAACAAGCTTCAACCTCCCCCATGCTCCCAATCCAGAGAAAAAGAATACAGATATTTCAACTACCCTCTTCAACTCTGGTGTATTTACATGGTGTTTTAACAATCCTGATCTGATGTACTTCTCTTCAAAAGTAAAGTGAATAGACTTCACAAGGCCCCTGGTTCACACATCTTTTTGTATCTCCTTCCCCATGATTCTTTCAGACGAGACTGCTGTTGCTGCGTACTCCGCCCCCTGCAGCGTAGGTAAGAGGTCACAGGCGTCACCAGCATCGTATCCCTTTAACTTTGCTCCCTCACATTCCTCTGAACCTAAACTTCTCTACACGTCTCTTCCTAGACTGGAGAGGTTTCATGTAGCACATTCTCATACAAAGAGAAAATTTCAGAGGAGTGGAAATTGGAGGTGGACTCTCCAGTTTCAGATATTTACTCCACTATCAGAGAAGTCAATGAGCCTTGTTTATTTGTGTGTTTGTAGGATAACCATCACTAATAAACACTTCACATCACAGCTGATTGATTTCCTTCAGCCAAAGGATCAACTAGCTATGATTCTTCTGCCAAGTCTAGACTAATATCCATTCTTGTAAATGAAGTCTCACTGGAACAGAGCCACACTCATTATATTACTGTTTCTTAAGGCTGCTGTCACAAGTTGAGTCGTTATGACATAAACCATGTGTCTCCCAAAGTCTGAAGTATATTTATCATCTGGCCTTTCACAGAAAAGGTTTGCTGACCCCTGCTTTAGCCCACTCTGCTGCCCAGGCTCAGCTGAGGGAGTAGTCTTCAGGAAACCCCACGGTCTTTTTATATTTCTCTTCTCTCCACAGATGCAGAGCATGGAAATGCTTGAGGACTATATTTAGGCCAAGTATTTTGCTGGGTTCCCTGTCCTATACTTCCATTTAGAAGGAATGGAGTTGTTTTGCTCTGTAAAACTGACATCAAAAAGACTTGTTAAATAAATATATATTTCTGGTCAAGCTATCATTTGTTCCATCATTCACTCATCAAACATTAATATCATGTTGATCTAATTAGTTTAATTGTTTTAAATAATGTGAAGAATATAGATGTGTATCATATCTGCTGGTATTCCAGCTGTGGATATAACATATAAAGTCAAATAGAGAGTAACTGAAAATACCTATGTCCTGAAATACCTTAGGAAGAAAAATCATTCATTGGTCTCGGAAGTCTTCATTTAAAAGCTGGAGAGAAGAGTAAATAGTATTGATTAGTCACTAGGAAGGCATAAATATTTCTTGAGAAGAAACAAGAAATATCTTTGTCCCTATGCAGTTCATCTTTAACACACTAATTTGAAAGGCATTTTCATCCTACACTACACTCCCACATGTTCTGGTGGATATTTCTGGGACTTCTAGTCTGTTTCTGTGGTCTCTCCATGTTTCTGTGTGCCAAGACCACACTGTTTTAGTATCAAGACTTTAAAATATGTTTTAGTATCTCATAGGGCTCGTTCCTGCTTATGGCATTTATTTTTCTGAGTTTTCTCAGCTATGTCTTTTATTTTTCTACCTGAACTTTTAGAATCTGCTTCTTTATTTAAAACAAAAGTTGAGTATTTTACTGGAATGTCATCCAATGTGCACATTTACTTAGGGAGAATTGTCAGCTTTTTTAGATTGGCCTCCTATCCAAGAAGAGGGTGTGTTTTGTGTTTTATTTTTAATTTTAATTTTTTTCTTTGTGTGTGTGCATGTGTACAACACATTGATGCAACAAATATATACTTTTCAAAATGCTCACCATGATAAGTCTAGTTACCATCTGTCATGGGACAAAGTTGCTACAATATTATTGACTATATTCCTCATGCTGTTTAATTTTTCATTTTTTCAAGTCTTCTTGTGTGTGCTTCAGTGTTATTTTAAAGTTCTTTTTTCATATGATTTATACACATTTCTTGTTCTTTTTTCTAGGTATTTTGTTGTATTCTTAGTGAAAATGTATAATGGTCTTTTTATTATCTAAACCACCAGTTGTCTATAAAAATATTTATTGTGAGTTTCCCTTTTATTGATATAATTTAGATACTATAAACTTTACAAATATTAAGGGCACAGCTTGGTAAGTTTTTATGATTAAATCTTAGAGAACATTTCAGAATCCCAGAAAGGCTTCACATGCCTTCTCCCAGAAAATACTCATCTCCACACCCAAGGTAGCAAATATATTCTGACTTTTGTTGCCTTAGGTTAGTTTTGCCTCTTTGAGAACTTCATGCATGTAGAATCAGACAGAATGCAGTCTTTTTGCCCTGACTTCTTCCATTCAGCTCCATGCCTACAAGATGATTCCATGCTGTTGAGTATATAGGTAGCTTCATATTTTTTAATGCTGGAAATATTCCATTGTATGAACATAACACAGTTTATTTTCCCATACTACAATTGGATAAATGTTTTTTTTCTTTTTTCTTTTTAGCTATTACAAATAAATCTGCCACAAACATTCTTGTCTCTTGGTGGATATATGCCCCCATTTGTCTTGAGCAGAACTATTAGGTCATAGGCATGTGTCACAGGTCACAGGCATACCTGTGCTAACACTACAAATAGTTCTCCAGAGTGGTTGCACCAATCTGCTCTGCCACCAACAGTGCACACTAGTTTATGCTGCTCCACATCCTTACCAACACTTGGCACCTCTGTGCGTTAAAATGTAGCCATTCTTCTAGGTGTATAGTGGTATTACATTAAGTTTTTATTTGCATTTCCTATTAATATAGAACAAGTTCTTATATATTTAATACCCATTTGGATATTCTCTCATGAAAAGTGTCCATTAAAGTTGCTTTTACCTATTTTTTATTAGATTATATGTTTTATTTCTTACTGATTTGTTGGAGTTTCTTTGTATATTCTGGGTATATATTGTCAGTTACATGCACTGCAAGAAACTTTTCCCTTGCCTTTTTACTGACCTTATGATATCTAAATGAATAAATGTTCTTAATTCTACTGAAGTTGAATAATCCACCATAAAGCCCCTAGTGATTTGCATCTGCCCTACGTGCAAACAAACACTGATCCAGGCTCCTGTTCTAACGTCTGTTGTCTCAACCTATTATGACATCAATCTCAGGCTTGAAATCCAGGACCTTGCCTTCTGTTTCAGGTCCAAGTACAGACGAGGCTCCTTGAGGCTGTCTGCCTGAAGTACAGTTCCTCAAGCATAGTTTCTTTCCATCTGAAGACCTGTGAATGAAGAGAAAACTTACCTGCTTCCACACTGCAGGGGACAATCATAGGATCGTGGTCACAGACACTTCTGCTCAAAAATGTGGAGACAGGAGGCACATGTTAGCTACTGGTCCATAGCCATTCTGAAATCCAGCCAGGCACACACCCAGTTCTCTGATCAGGGTTCAGTCTTGTCCATAGTCTTGCTCGCTCCCTCAGAGTTGTTCTCTATGCCTCTGAGGTCCACTCTACACTCTAATTGATCCTCTCTTTCCCATAAGATAGGGCATATATTTTCAGTTGAGATGTGTTTTCAATGGTCTTCCTTCCTATAGAACTTTGAGGGCTCTGAAATCTCTGAAGTCTATTCATTTTAAACTGCCTCTGTCCTCTGAGTCTGGCAGTGCCTCTGTTAATGCAATTCTCTTCTAAAATGTTGTGGGTTTCCCATCAATCTTAGTCAGATTAATTCCATGAGACAAAGCAACACCCGCAAACCTCTCCAACACAGGCGCTTCTCTATCATAGGCTACCTGTGAGGTTGCTGCAGACAAGATGATTAGAATTCCTATTGTCAGGCAAATATGATCTAAGAGGAATACCTTTTAATTTCTTAAAATTTAATTTTAATTTTTATTTCTACCTGAGAATACCTGCTAGGCATACTGTTATTTAGTTCTGAATCTTAATGTAAGATGCTATCATCAAAACTTTGACTTCAATTTTGCCCCAAGGCCACAATTATTGTTCTGGATTTGATTTTTCTCATGATACCTAGAAATAAATGTAGAAGAAACTCTAAAATATTAATAAGGAATACAAAAAAAACTTGAACAAATGTTAAAACATACTGTATTTTTGGATAGGTTACGTTAGCATCAAAGCAATGTCAATTCTCCCTAATTTTATGTAATCTTAATTAAAATCACAACATTTTTAAAACCAGAGATGTTGATTCTAAAATTCATATGAAAAATAAGCTTGAAAAGACATAAGCATATGTGAAATAATGGAGAGAGAGAGAAGGAGAGATCCGCCCCCATGTCCTCACACAGAGCTCTTAAATTCCTTGGAGGTCTTTTGATACATTTGAAAACAAAATTAAACAAAGTAAATTTGAATATTGAATAGGCTTTATTAAACAACTCATGAATCAGGCAGCATTTCCTCTAGCAAGTAGAGAGATGCTCCAAAGGGCTACAGAAAGGGGAGGCTTTTTAAGATAGGACAAGGACATCATAAGCCGAAAAAAGGTTTATTTTGGGTGGCCGCCTTCCTTTGGGAAATGGAGAGGGTACAAGTAGCATTTCTAAGGGAGGTTGAAACTGCACAAGGTGAGGTATTAAGCCCCAGTTTGGTGGCTTGGCCTAGCAGAAGTGACACCATGGTGGGCCTGTGGTTTTCTGTTTTGCAGTTTTCATGAGACAACTTTTATAGGTGGGCATCTGGATGGCTTCAGAGTGGGGACTGGTCACCGGAAAGATAAGCCATGATCAGAAACTATTCCTGCCCACAAATAATGACTCACGGCTCTGTACCCCAATTTCCTGGGCTGATGTGCCCCCACAGTCTTTCTTATGTATGTATAATTCTTCATTCAGTTGGGTTGATTTACAAGAAACTTAAAACTCTCCAGCAACCCGATGATGTCCCTTTTATTTTCAGCCCTTCTGTGGATTTCTTCCTCTGCTTTCAGCACCCTTTAAATGGGTCATTAGGGAAAGGAAAGGAGGGAAATTGATGAACATTTGATGCAGAATCCACTTATGTTTCAATTGCTGTCCTCATGATCAGAGAATTTTCAACATATACAATATTTTGGGGGGGGAATTTTGTCCATTCACTTTTTATTTTTATTTTATGGAGGTTTTCTTTTCTTCTTTTTTGGAGGGGGTTAGGAAAATTAAACATGGATGTGATTTTATGCTTGCATAGTATTTTAAACATCTCAAATACTTTGTATCTCATTTTATCTCAACTGTTTCAGAGAAAATGATAGAAGCCATGTGAGAAACCATTCTTGTTGGTCTTCTTATAGACCAGAATCAAAAGGCACAGTCCTTTACTTGGAAAATTAGTAAAAACTTGGGAATCTTGGAAGAAATGTTTAAAGATGATCCAAAAAATCTGAATTAGAATGTGAGAAGGAACTTTGTAAGAAACAAGGTTTTTCAATCACAGAGATTAGATGGGACAACATTTGGGAGGACAAGAGGGCAGGTCAGCCAGAAGTCTGAGAAATTCCCTCCCTAATCCAGACCACCTCACCTTCATATTTTCAAAAAGAGAGGAATCAACTGTGTGCTAGTTTGATGCATATAGTATATTTATCACCATGCATTTTGATCCCTTTCATATAAGGTCAAGTATTACTGACCCACTTTTATATAAGGAGTGAGAGAAATAAGAAACAGAAATTAACACATTTCCCAACATCTCCCTGTTCCCAGAAAAACAGTTAAATCTCTTAATGCTAGGGCTCTTTATTGAATCCTGGGATTAAAATTCCAGATTTTCCAGACCACATTTTTGTTTGAACAAGCAGTAAAAAGGCATGTGGAGCAGTAATGGCATTCTCAAAGAGGAAACAAAGAAAAACTGGGGGTGGGGCCTCGTTTAATTTATCCACTATTGTGTAAGATAGTAACGTGGGAGTCCATTACCAGAAATCTCTGCATGTTTTCTTTCAGTTGAGTGAGATTTGGGAGATGAGTATACATATGAAAATGGGGATT